TTTGGAAAAGAAACATGAACATGTCTTTTGAAATGTCTTTTGAAGTGTCCTCATGAATAATTATAAAACTAGTTATGAATTTATTTTTCTGATTTTTCGTTTTTCTTTTTATTCAATTATATTCAAAAGACTTTGTGTTGGGATGAATAGATAACATATCTGGAATAGCTCTTAAGGTAATAGTGGCTTGCATAGTCGATTTCCTTGATCATCCTGACAGGATTGACTGGGTTATGGTAATCTTAATCCGCCTCTAATTCTTTGCAATAGATGGTGATGAACTTCATGTTTTTGTGTTCTTGCAAGCTCCTAAATAACAAGCAAAGAGTTGGTGGGTCTAGTTTTGAAAGAGTTATGACAAATTGCATTAAAAATACCTGTTTGGGAGGCATCATGATTTTTCTTTGGCTTCTTGATGAAAGCTACATAACTTTGATCCAAATGAACTTCAGGCTTCATAGATAACACGGTACGGATATGTGTTGAAGATAAATGCACGGCCCGCACCATTAAGTCATTGTACTCAGTTCCAGAACTGTCTCTGTATTCTTCAAGATTGATGGTGGAACCGACTGAAACAGTTCAACGGTAACATGTTACAATTACGACTTACGTTGTTAAACTTTAACAATTGAGCAACTGAAATCATGCAACTAGCATATATTCACCAATTGTCCTTATTTGAGAAAGAACCCAATATTTATGATTAACATCAACATACAGAAGTACTGACAGAGTTATAGCAAAAACCTACCTTTGCACATCAATTTAATAAACAATTATGGAATCGAAATTATGCAAAAGAACCAAACAGACTGCATTTCATACATTTGCTTCGGATTCAACATCCTTGCTATTTAAGCAGCAGCAGCAGCCCTTGTTTTGGTCTTCTCTCTCTTAGACTGTATGATCGTGGGAGCGTAATGCAAGTATGAGAGATTATAAACTTCGGCTGGCACCTGATCCTATCGCTTGTATTGTACGTGCTGGCATGGCAACTAACCAACGAAAATAACAAGTTTGCTAACTGAATAAATAATATTTCTCACTACAAGAGCGTGACCAATAGATGATCAGATATACAATTTGGCTGGCAGAAAAGGTGCACAAGAAATCACGTAAATACCATTCTTACAAACGCAAAGGCAATACACTTCGTGCTAATTGACAAAAGAGACATGTTTAAAATGACAAAAGTCGAGAAGAACTTGGTCTCAACCTAAGGAGTTCAATGTAAGATAGTTGTTTTGAGATTTGTGGGCCTGCATTGGGGACAAGAGTGGGGTTCAGTGAATCACAAAATAAGCAGGAAATTGAGTTCAAGGATGGGATCCTGACCCAACTATCCCATGCAGGAAATTGTATTTTCTACTCCAACTAAGCATGGGAATAGCCAAGAGCTCCATGCTTGACTGCCTGATTACACCATTCTACATATCAAGTTTTTCTGATTCAAACTCCAACAGAACACTTCGGAGCTTCCACCTATAAGATAAATACATTGTTACTGTAGCCTAATGAGCTAGAAAACTGTATGCTCTCTCTCTCTTTTTCATTTAATTGTTTTTACCGTAACTACTCGCATAGCAAATCATTCTAACAAAAGCAATATAATGAGCTAGAAAACCACATCTGACACAAAACAAACTAATCCATCATTGCTGAATCAGGGATTTCAATATTACAGATCATTATCAACACTTACAGAGCCTAACAATGTCATTTGATTCCTCACTCGCAACCCACTTGCATTTAGCCCCAATATCACTTGCCCTTATTGCCCACATCCAAAAACACCAATATCATCTAAACCCCTAGAACAGCCGACCTTTCAAACACTGAGACACCAAAATCATTTTAACTACCATTTCAGAACAAGCAACAATCAACAATCACGCACGACGAACAAAAAAAAAAAAAAAAACTAAGAACAAAGAACATCTCGACTTCATTCTCACGGGCGTATAAAGCAACACATTTTCATGTACGCCGAACAAGGAATTCCAAGAATCATCAAACAACAGCTCACAAAAAAACAGAAATTTTGGCCAAAACGAAATTTTGAAGTGCTCAAGGTTGGAGATACATAGAAATTCGTAAAAGAGCAGAAAAAAAAAAATCATGAAACTAAATTGCCTCAATCGAATTCAGATCACACTCAGAGGAAAGTTTACCTTTCAAAGGTAAATTTGGTGAAAGAGTAAAGAGGAACAGAGGTCTAGGTGTGTGACCTGGGAGGTATTGTGTTAAGGACATGACCAAGAAAAGGGGATTTTTGGGAGAAAATGCATCGGCTTTGGCAATTTTGGAAGGAGAAGGTGAGGCTTTGCCGGAAAAGAAGAAAGTTGCGGAGGGAGGAGCCGCCGGAATGGACAGATCGGGGAAGAGGAAGAGATGAATTTGGGGGAAGAAAGGAGAAATGGAAACCCTAGCCCAAATGACCAAGTGAAAGGACCAGAAGAAGACACGATCCACTTTGGTTGGCACCTGTTGGGCCTATTATAACTTGTTGGAATGGGCTAAGTACTAGTATTAGGCCGTGTATGCATGTATATAATGAAAAGCCCAAATCAGTTGTGTAAAACATACTCACCATGACGTAACTTGACATACAATAAACATTAAACATTAAACATTGTGTATAATTAGCCAACCCTTATAATCATTCTATCTACATATATTTCATTCTAAAATTAATAAAATCAAATCATTTAATTTCATAAATTTTTATATAAATTGGTAATTTACGTAATAAGAAAGTTCTTATGATAAATAATTTTCGATAATAATTTTTAACTAACGGGTAAATTTGGAGAAATAATTGTGTTATTTAATTATAAGTAAAAAATTCTCAAACTTATTATTATCTCTCTTGTCTCTTCGAATACGGTGATGTAAATGTATAGTGTGATTGATATGTGTATGTTGTCTTTTGATTCAGAGTGTACTTGTGAGATATGTTTTATAATCGGCATTGGAGAATATACACCGAACTGTTTATGAGGATTACTGAGCTTTTTTTTCCTTCTTTTGTTTTGGCTATATTGAGACCTCAGGTCTCTGTTTTGGTTTGTTCTCGATCAACTGATACAAATCGAATCAAATCACCTTGTGGCTCATTTTAACTTGATTGCATCTGAATTTTTTGCTCTAATTCTTCATAATCTAATCGATCTCATGTTTGTTCTACAAACAAGCGGGCTGCGTTTTTAGGAAAATGGGAACTTCAAATGGATCGTCAAACCTCAAAGCCTTTGAAACTAACACGTGCAAATACCACAGATTTGGCAAGCGATTCTTATGTTCATTTTGGATGCTCGGCCGTCGGGTCTTTCAATTCCGAGGATGAGTCAAAGTACATCGACTCGTTTTTTGGGCTAAGTAATTCGTTGAGCTTCAACGATGTGAGGCCAAGGTGGGTTTATTGTTGTCGAAGAAGAACAGTCAGGTGATTCTCATGTAAAGTCTTTATGGATCAAATGCAGGCATATTAAACAGTGTATGATTTCTCTCTTTATGATGTTATTGTGAGATCTCTTTGAGTCTGATACTTGAACTTATCGATCGAGAGTAAGGTAACTTTCCATGCATAGCTCATCTTAAACTGGACCTACCCTCTCGAAAGCACATATGTGTCCGAGAGGTACAACCTCCATCAAGGAGTCAACCGCACACACAAAAACCCACCTCCTTAAGGAGACTAGAACTTCATAGAGGAGATAGAAAGTCAAACACAACTCGACTTTTACGAACTAAAAAGAACAATTAAAAGATAAAATACATATACACCTAATTTACACAACTAGAGAAAACCTCCCCTAGCCGAACAAACAAAACAGACTACCACCTAAACTGACAACCGAGACACACCAACCCACAAACAAAGCAGACTACCACCTAAACTGACAAACGAGACGCACCCACAATACCAAACCCCAAACTAATAACAAATGTTGACTCCAAACTCGAAAATTGCGGACACTCAAACCGCCTAGACGAATTTTCATTCCAGTTCTGGACTCGAAGTAGCTCCGCACCGAGAGAAGATGGGAAAGCTACTAAGATAACGCCGGGGGCCTCGAAGCAAAGACCCGAGGAGGCACCTTACCACACGGCCGAGCGGCCCGACCCAGTCAGGTACACCGGCGGACAGTCTAGAACACTGACCACCAAGTCGCAAGCTGAATCTCCTACAAGGTGAAAAGGTGAAGCACGCGAGGCTGAGCATCAGCATCTCGACGGCCGCCCGCCACTTGGCGGAGACGGAGGCTGAAAAAGCAGTCGGCGACCACCACCGAAGCTAGGGTAAAAAAGCGTGGAGACAAGAATCGCCGCCAGCCTAATTCCGCCGGGCTCCAGGAGGGGCAGAATGGATACTTGTGATAACATGGATGGTTATAAATTGTAGAAATGCTATAGAGCCAATGGTTGGCTCCCTTATGGAGCCAACACCCAATTAAATTGCTCCAGGTGAGGATGTCTCACATGGGCTCTATGTGGGACATCCCCACATGGAGCAATTTAATTAGGTGTTGGCTCCATAAGGGAGCCAACTGTTGGTTCACTAGAAGGACTGAATTGCAGATAATAACTTCTATTTAATTTTGATTTTTTTTTTTAATTTTGATTTTTTAATTCGGACTTCAGTGCGAATAGCTTTTCTTTAACTTCCCCACTAAGCAGTAAGCCCACCTTCATTAATTCACCACCTAAGTTCCCGTGTTTCTGGCCACAACACACACTCAATTCTCTTTTTTTCCACACACCATTTACTGGCCACTTGTACAACAACATTCAGCACTTATATTTTCTCTTTCTAACCTAACCCCATAGAAAGACTTGATTTTTTTCATCCATTGATGCCAAAGATCTGAGCTTTTGTGAGCCCCAATGTCACGCGACCATCACTAGGATCAGAGAACCAAAAAAGATCAATTTTTTTTTTTTTTGTCTTTTGGGAAGATTTTTTTTTCCTAAAAAGGGGAAAAAGATCAAGAATTATGCATGGGCCTAGCCGCCTGAGCAACGGGGTGAGCTCCTTATCTCCGCCGGCGTCTCCCCGCCACCGCGGCAGCCGTGTCAAGAGCAACGCCGCCGCCGCCGCCTCCGGCGGCGGATGCGGCGGCGGGAACTTCCGTGGAGGCGGCGCTGCTGCTGCTGCTGCTGCTGGTGGTGGGAGGGCGGACATGAAGAATGTGATGGAGGGGATTGGGTATTTATTGATTTCATCATTGTACAGGAGAAGAGGGGTGCTTTTATTTGCCCCTTTGCTATATATTTCTGGGTTGCTAATGTATATGGGCATAGTGGGATTTGATTCTGAAAATAATAATGGTGGTGTCCCTGACGTTGTCGGGCCAGGCTCAGTGTACCGGAGCCCTCAGGTTTTTGAGAAGCTATGGCCTTTTATGGAGGCTGAAAGCAATCGAAGCTCTAATATGGTGATTTTTATTTTTATTTTTCTTTTCCCCATTTTCTGGTTTTTATTCTGAAATCTTGAGTTTTCTAGTCATGCTGGTAGAATAGCTAGTTGAATTTTGAGCTGCATCATTTTTTTCATGATTATTTAGGTGATAACTTCTGGTTGCAATTTTGTTGCTTGGCAGGATTGTTTGAGCGCAATTTAGTTGAAACTGAAATGAGTGGAAAAAAGTTGTGTTTTCTATGTCCTGAAATGAGAATGTCATTGAGTGATTGTGTAGTAGTGTTCTAAATTGGATATGTGCACATTCAAAGTGTGTGTATTTTCACTGTTCATGATTTCGTCACTGATTGTTATCTGATTACCGGTATTTGGTGGCGTGAAATTTGAATGCAGTTGATGAATGTTTGGAATCCAAAGTTGGGTCAAGTTTGGAAGCCTTGTATCAAGCAGACTGTATCCCATTCAGGTTTGTAATTTTAATCTTTATTGTAAGGTCCTTTTTCGTGATCATATCCCATAATAACATTTGACTTTTGAATTGGTTATGAAAGTTCCCCAGCCCGCAACAAAATGAACCCACTTGAAAATAATACGATTCTACCTTTTCAAGCCTGGTGGAACTGTCATATTTCAAATCTACATTCTGTAGTATATTTTTCTTGTAATATGGGGGCAATCTATGTATTTGTTCGCAAAGTAATAGCACTCTCTCGTACCAATTATGTGAATCATTTGAAAATTCGAGGTTATTCCAACTATTAATAATTCTCTGTATCGGGTTAATTACAACTACAAGTAACAAGTCAATAGTTTTTGTTATCTTATCTATCTGTTAACTTTATGTTTATTCTCTTTTTGCATGAAGGCATCTCAGAGTTTCCAAAGTCAAATGGTTTCCTAATAATTGAAGCAAATGGAGGACTAAACCAACAAAGACTATCGGTAGGTTATACTCGGATAAATTCTATCCCATGTGAATATGTTTGATTTACTATTAAGTTTGTCCGCGAGCACTTTTTGGATGGATCATAGTATAATATCTGATCTTTGTAACTATAGAATGTATGATCCTTATAATCATGATGTAGATAAAATATTTATCCTACCAAAATTATCTTTATGGTGGATTAAGTACCCATACCTCAGTTCTAACATGGTTAATTACGTATTCCAATCATCCGCTCTATCTGTACACAAAATTTTATCTCTAAGATACGTGACTTGAATGCTGTAATTTTTTGGTATTTCAGAAGGGAGGTAAGTTTGATTTATGATTTTATCTAATCTGAAGTTGGATGATTGGGAACTCTTTTAAGACAATGCCAACATTAATTAAATGTTTAATAAATTGATTGCAGTTCACAGGAGAAGATTTTTGGTGAAATATGGGGTAAAAACAAAAGGTATTGCAGACCAAGCGGCATTAAGTGTGTAACTTGAGCATAATTGCTTCATATTTGATAGGGATGCTCTTTATAGGATATGAAGTGGAATGTGCTAATAACCTGATATTTTCTTACATTTTACCTTTTTGTGTACTGAATTGCACTTTGCATTATCATCGTATATAGATTTCTTTTATAGTATGATGTTGTCGATCTTTTTCCAATGGTAATTTCACTACTCTCCAAAGCCATTAAGTCATATATGGGATCCTTTATCGTTGAGCTATAGTTAAACTTCTGTACATTGATTATTATTATTTAGTTCTGATGTTGGATTTAATTCTTAGGAAGAGAAGTGTTACTCAACGGAGATATATCCGAGAATTAGTCTAAATTAATTAATATCTGTTTATTTTCTTCAACAGATTTGTGATGCAGTGGCAGTGGCTGGTTTGCTGAATGCTACACTTGTTATTCCCATTTTTCATTTAAATAGTGTCTGGAAAGATTCCAGGTGAGGACAAATATCACTGCATGTATTCGTATAATTTCCTATTTGTATTTACATAGTCGTAGTGTAATTCGTAATAAACGAGGCATATGTTCAGCATAATGATTCCTTTAATGTCTTTCAAGTTAGACCCCAATAGCTCAACCAAACTGAGATAACCGAATGTTGGAAAGGAGAGTAATTGTTAGCATCTGTTTACCTTGTTATTAATTTTGAAACTCAAGGAAATTTATATTTAACCTTTATATGATCAACAATAAATGGATTTACATTTGGAAACAATGTATGCCACCACATGGCTGCTTTATTTCGGCATATCGAACTTTCTTCATGGCTAGCTGTATAATATTTTCTCCTGCGATGGTTGATGATTAGCTGTATTGGAATACTAGTACACCACCCGTGTATTACACGGGTGCTTGTTAAAAAATTATTTTTAAATTTTAAAATTAATGAGAAAACTAAATTAAATTTAGTTTACTTTTTTACAAAATTAAATATATTACTATATATTCTAGAATGATATGTGTTACTTATGACTTACATGTGTTATATTATATTAGTTTTTATAACTTACATCATATAACTACTTGAAATATAAATATATTAGTTGATAAATAATTTTATTTTTCTAATTAATATTAAAAATAATTTTATTATTGTTATAAATTATTTTTTTTATACATACAATATGGATGTTAAATCGAAGCTCATCAAAAAAAGATTAATTTGTATATTATATATGTAAAAATAATAAAAAATAAAAAAGTTATTAACTTTTGAAATATATATACAATTCAATAGTTATAATAAGGAATGATATTAAAATGCAATTAATACATGTAACATGACCATAATAATCAAGTCGAACCTAATTATTTTTGGTTTGGAATTAAATTAAAATTTACCCAAGCCTGATAACGAAACATGTAATTTTGCCACATAGGATTCCGAAGCACTAGAAGTAGCCACGTAGGCTCAGCGCGTTCTGGATTAATAGATAGGGGGATTTAACACTTTTTTTTTTTTTTTTT